AACAAATGTATAACAAGAATTCTTGGAACTCCTTGGGGATTCTTGATTAGTGCTGAACTAACTATAGTGCAAAGTCAGATCTCTTTGGTTAATAAGATCCAAAAGGTTTATCGATCCCAGGGGGTACAGATTCATAATAAGCATATAGAAATTATTGTACGTCAAATAACATCAAAAGTGTTGATTTCAGAAGACGGAATGTCTAACGTTTTTTCACCCGGCGAACTAATTGGATTGTTGCGAGCAGAGCGAATGGGGCGCGCTTTAGAAGAAGCGATCTGTTACCGAGCCGTCTTATTGGGAATAACAAGAGCATCTCTCAATACTCAAAGTTTCATATCTGAAGCGAGTTTTCAAGAAACTGCTCGGGTTTTAGCAAAAGCCGCTCTTCGTGGGCGTATCGATTGGTTGAAGGGTCTGAAAGAGAACGTAGTTTTGGGGGGAATGATACCCGTTGGGACCGGATTCAAAGGATTAGTGAAACCTTCAAAACAACATAACAAGGCTCTCTTGGAAACCAAAAAAAAGAATCTATTCGAGGGGGAAATGAGAGATATTTTGTTTCATCACAGAAATTTTTTTGATTCTTTCCTTTTAAAAAAATTCCATGATCCATCAGAACAATCTTTTATAGGATTTAATGATTCATAAGAAGAGATTCATTTCTTTTATTACCTTATTTTACTTATTTTATTTGATTTAGTTCGGCCATTTTATTTAGTAAAATAAATAGAAAAGAATAATGGTTTGGGTCGTGTATATACGGCCAATCTACGGTAGGGCAGAAGGTTCCATCGGAACAATTTTATATTTCAGTTCAGGGTTCCTCCTCCCTTTTTTGAAAAAGGGGGGATATGGGGAGAAATGACAAGAAGATATTGGAACATCAATTTAGAAGAGATGATGGAGGCAGGGGTTCATTTTGGCCATGGTACTAGGAAATGGAATCCTAAAATGGAACCTTATATCTCTGCAAAGCGTAAGGGTATTCATATTACAAATCTTACTAGAACTGCTCGTTTTTTATCAGAAGCTTGTGATTTGGTCTTTGATGCGGGAAGTCGAGGAAAACAATTCTTAATTGTTGGTACCAAAAATAAAGCAGCAGATTCAGTAGCATGGGCTGCAATAAGGGCCCGGTGTCATTATGTTAATAAAAAATGGCTCGGCGGTATGTTAACGAATTGGTCCACTACAGAAACGAGACTTCATAAGTTCAGGGACTTGAGAATGGAACAAAAAACAGGGAGACTTAATCGTCTTCCAAAAAGAGATGCAGCTATGTTGAAAAGACAATTATCTCGTTTGCAAACATATCTGGGCGGGATTAAATATATGACAGGGTTACCCGATATTGTAATCATCATTGATCAGCACGAAGAATATACGGCCCTACGAGAGTGTATTACTTTGGGAATTCCAACAATTTGTTTAATCGATACAAATTGCGACCCCGATTTAGCAGATATTTCGATTCCGGCGAATGATGACGCTATATCTTCAATCCGATTAATTCTTAACAAATTAGTATTCGCAATTTGTGAGGGTCGCTCTAGCTATATAAGAAATCCTTGATTAATAATAAGATAAATAATTTACTTCGAAAACCCCGTAGATTTATGGGATCGGTTACTATATATTCTATTCTGAATTTCAAAAAAGAGATAAAAATACCTGGGGATATTGTGTCATTGGTTATTATTCAAAATATTAGTTGGTATTCAAAATATCGGATTCAAGTCGGCAAAGAGATGGTTGAATCAAAATAATTTTGTTTAAAGTTCGATTTTTTTTATTCAGAGGGAAATATGAATGTTCTAGCAAACACACTAAAAGGGTTATACGATGTATCCGGTGTGGAAGTAGGCCAACATTTCTATTGGCAAATAGGGGGTTTCCAAGTCCACGGCCAAGTACTTATTACTTCTTGGGTTGTAATTGCTATCTTATTAGGTTCGGCTGCTATAGCTGTTCGGGACCCACAAACCATTCCAACTGGGGGTCAGAATTTCTTCGAATATGTTCTTGAATTTATTCGAGATGTCAGTAAAACCCAAATTGGAGAAGAATATGGTCCTTGGGTTCCTTTTATTGGAACTCTGTTTCTATTTATTTTTGTTTCTAATTGGTCAGGAGCCCTTTTACCTTGGAAAATCATACAATTACCTCACGGGGAGTTAGCTGCACCCACGAATGATATAAATACGACTGTTGCTTTGGCTTTACTGACGTCAGTGGCATATTTCTATGCGGGTATTACCAAAAAGGGATTAAGTTATTTCGGGAAATATATTCAACCAACCCCAATCCTTTTACCCATTAATATCTTAGAAGATTTCACAAAACCTTTATCGCTTAGTTTTCGACTTTTCGGAAATATCTTAGCTGATGAATTGGTTGTTGTTGTTCTTGTTTCTTTAGTACCTTTAGTGGTTCCTATACCTGTCATGTTCCTTGGATTATTTACAAGTGGTATTCAAGCTCTTATTTTTGCAACTTTAGCCGCGGCTTATATAGGTGAATCCATGGAGGGCCATCATTGAAATAATCTTTTTTTTTTTTCAAACCTCAGGGTCCGGCTCAAGATAATTTACTTAGGGAATATCCAACTAGGCCGATATGGTAATGGAAAAAATTATGATATTTGATATTAGAGGGTTGGTTGTAAAAAAAGGAAAGAGATCGAAAAGATCTTTTTGCTAAAAACCCCTTTCGTCCACTCCCCCCCTCAATGAATATTAGATTTCTATCGCATTATTCAAATTCAAAAAAATCGCGAACAGATTCCCGTTTCAGTTGATTTTATTCAACGATTGACCAAATGAAAATAGTAATATAATAAATAACAAATTGCATGAACTTAGATCAATCTAATAATGATATTTATATGCAACGATTTGATTTGGACTAACCAATTTGTTTGTCCATTTAAATTGGATCCGGCGGAATAATGATAAAGAAGGGGGAGGGGGGAAAAGAGTTTACAAAAAACAGAATTCATAAAAATGGGTTGGTTCGGATAGGTTAGGTATATGTAATTGAATGGCTATAAATAAGTAAACTCCTGTAGATGTTTCGACAATTGATTCTCGAATTCGATTGAATCTAAGATGGGTGCTTGGTTTACATTATGGAATAAAGGCATGTATATGTGATATTAGATATTGACTGGATATATATGAAATAAGGCTATATTTCATTTGTCCTACTTCTATGAATTTAGATGGGGATTCGAATATAAGCCCTTCCCTTTCTGTCTCTTTTTGACTGTGAATTGAATGAATAAACAAATGAAATTAAGAGAAACATGGAAGAATGCAATTCACAGTTTGGAACCAAGAAATGAAGAAGGAAAGTTGTATGTATTCACAAAGACTTTGTGGATAGAAACTAAAAAATAGATATTGAAGTAGTTCAGACGATTCAATAACAAAAATACTATTATTTCTATTTCTTCAACTACTTTAACTCGAAGTAACTAGGAACTTCGATAGGATGAATCCTAGTGACGGAATAATTAAGTCATAATTCGTTGGTTGGTTGTATCATTAACTATTTCTTTTTTTCTTTTTTTGGTACGAGGGAATTTATCATGAATCCACTGATTTCTGCCGCTTCCGTTATTGCTGCTGGATTGGCTGTAGGGCTTGCTTCTATTGGACCCGGAGTTGGTCAAGGAACTGCTGCGGGTCAAGCCGTAGAGGGTATCGCGAGACAGCCCGAGGCAGAGGGAAAAATACGAGGTACTCTATTGCTCAGTCTAGCTTTTATGGAAGCTTTAACAATTTATGGACTGGTTGTAGCATTAGCACTTTTGTTTGCGAATCCTTTTGTTTAATCTTATAAATATAAAAATTATTGACTTGGATTTGTCATTTGCTTTTTCGAATTATAGTAAGATTTCACTCCTACAATTACTTATTCGTTGACAAAATAACCCACGGGAAGGGCTGATTTGCGGATGAGGAATTGGTATACCGACTCGCTTTCATCCTTTCCCGCCCGGAGTCCAAGGGAAACTAAGTATTGGTAGTTCACACAACTCGAATACTTTTCAAAATAAATAGGAAAAAGGAAACTAAAAGAATAAATAAAAACGAGGGGCGAAGTGATACAAAAAGAACTCTAGTCAATTTTGTAGTCTATCTATAAAAGGAGATCCTATGAAAAATGTAACCGATTCTTTCCTTTCTTTGGGCCACTGGCCATTTGCCGGGAGTTTCGGGTTTTTTAATACCGATATTTTATCAACAAATCTAATAAATCTAAGTGTAGTGCTTGGTGTATTGATCTTCTTTGGAAAGGGAGTGTGTGCGAGTTGTTTATTTCAAGAATAGGCTGGATCCAACCAGCTGTACCCCCCTTTCGTTATAACTAGGAAAGAAAGGAAAAAGAAGGGTACATGATCTCGCGAATTACTTCGGAATAAATTAAGAAATTCTATGTAAGAATCATAGCATTTCGTGATTCGTTGGTAAAACCCCTTTGATTCTCTACCAACCAATAATGTAGGACCATTAACATGGTTAAAGCAAACTGTTTGAAGTTTAGATGCAGCATGGTAGTCTTTCTACCACTATGTTAATATAGAGATAGTTTAAAATAAATATTTTATCGATAGAGAACACTCCTATCGATATGAAACGCTTATTGTAAAAATGAAAAAGATGGGCATTTTGCCCCCTTTATCCAATGCTGAATCGACGACCTATGTGTTATGTATAAATAATAAATTTTTGGATTTGAAGAAAAGAAAAAAAGCAACAACTTTGCTGACAATTACATATTTTTGTCAGAAAGAGTCCTCTCAATATCTTAATCTGGCATTAATTTAGATATTTGTTGAATATGAACAAAGAAGAGAGGATAGGCCCGTCATTACATTTATCAAAAGATATGAGACTTTATTATAATTCTAAGTAATTGGGCGTGAGAGCCAAATGAATCGAAAGATTCATATTTGGTTCGGGAAGGGATTATGTAAGCTTTGAAATTAATGG